TAAGTTTATTTACAATAATTCTCTTAAGTCTTAATTCTCAATAATTACTATCTTCAATTATTCCTGATAAATATTTATTTTTTATTAGTAAATGGTTACTAATAATACACTGTGCTAAAGAGTCCCCTAAATGCTTCCACTCTTTAAATCCCCGATTGCCAAGAGCGCTCAAGCTAGACGGTGCAGCAAAAAGTCGACATGGAAAATAGTACAAAGCGTTTTGAAATACGGAATATACCATCCATTCTCTTAAAACCTCTTCTCCATTTTCTTGTAATGTTTATAAGCCTAAGCCGTTTCTTGTAATGTTTTGGTGAGAATCTTCTATGCTGATCATCAAAAGGAAAATCAAAATTATACAAAGGTGCACGGAACTGCATCACTACTCTCCAAACTTGTTTGAGATGACTTGCCCAGCTCAGTAATGCTGACGGTTGCGTCCAAAGGGGGATCCATATCCGGAAAGTCAGTATCTAGGTGCTGGGCGTTATTCAAGTGTTGGTCTGTTGTGAGAGCGTTGAAACTACCTCCTTTCAAGAAGTTCTGCAGCGCATCTGTCAATCTTGTCAACTATCATTTTGGCGCCCCTAGATCATTGCGCTCCGGGTGGCCGCCCGGATCACCCTACCCTGGGGCCGGTCCTAGTGGGATTTCCTTCCATGGAAAAACTATAAAAATGTAAGTTCTGGACGTTACGTGGTAGCGTACTATTTTTCCGAATCTGAGGTGTGCGTCTTGGACAGCGGGATCTCTCGACACCAGAAGCTTAACAGCCATAGCAATTTGCAGGATGTCTTTCTTCGTTCATTTTATCAATAATCCTTTTTGGAGTTCAGTCAGTACAAAGAAAACTTTGACCAGGGTTTCCATGGTATCTTTAATTTGATTTGAAAATATGGGTGAAAAGTGTTTTAGCAGCAAAATGTCCTTTAGTATCATATTCAGATTTGTTTAAATAGAATTTACTCTACACTTCAACATCAGCCATATGCCTTTCTTTTCTGTTTCTTCTTAGGTTGACCTACATATCTATTTTCAATATGACATACCCATGTTGTCCAAACATAGAAGTGATTCTTTGCTTGTGGAAGAACTTGTTTTTTCATTATGTCTAAAATTATCAAGTATTTAAAACTTCGTACTATTGAAATACTTTATTCTGCTAACCAGCCTTCAAGAAAATAAAAAAAAAATAAAAAAAAACAATCTGATTCGAATATGGAATTTTTTAAACATTTTATCCGGTTCTTTATTGGCGATCGAAATGGGCTGCAGGTGGCATAGAGCAGAACGCTCTACCTATGGCAACACTTCACATGCTTTCCCCATTAGCGTGTGGAAAGTCATTCGCGATCGCAACACTCGAATACGTCATCTGGGGAGAGACCGGTTTCATGCCTTTAACCCTTCTCCCTTCCCTCTCCTCCTCTTTTCAGTTGTATAGGAATGTACTACGATATTTTCCCTCTTCTTAATATTTTTCCTTTTTATTTAATAAAAATATTTCTTAAAATTTCCATGATACCTTTCTTTAGAACTATGTTTAATGTAGTTTTCAGTTCCATATAGTTTTTCACGTTAAAAGATTTTAATCCATATGAAAATCAAGAGAGAAACTAACGTACTTCTTTCCTCTATGACTTTCCACACGCTAATGGGGGCATGTGAAGTGTTCCACACGCATGTGAAGTGTTGCCATAGGAAAAGAGTGCTGCTCTACGCCACCTGCAGCCCATTTCGATCGCCAATAGAGGAAGGAAGTACGTTAGTTTTTCTCTTGATTTTCATACAAATTAAAATCTTTTAACTTGAAAAACTATATGGAACTGAAAACTACATTAAACATAGTTCTAAAGAAAAGCATCAAAGGAATTTTAAAAAATATTTTTATTTAGTAAAAAGGCAAAATATTAAGAAAAGAGAAAATATCGTAGAATATTCCTATACAACTGAAAAGAGGAGGAGAGGGAAGGGAGAAGGGCTAAAGGCATGAAACCGGTCTCTCCCCAGATGGCGTATTCGAGTGTTGCGATCGCCAATTGTGAGTTGCTAACAATTTCAGCCTCAATCTTCGCAAAAACATGCTTTTATCATAGTCAAAATCTTGAACTTTCTCATCTGCTTCTCGAGTTGCGCTATATCGTTCGGAAAAACTCCAACTAGATATACAACCCAATTATCCTTTTCAACTTTCAAAAATTTCAACTGTCTCCCAAATAAATTTCAACTAAATAAATTTTAACGGATAACCTCTCCGATTACTCCACAGGGGCACCCTCAACAGTCACCACTTTAAAATTTACAAATTTTATGCTTGTTTCAGTACAAATTTTTTCCCCCTTCAATCTGTTGGTTTATATCAAACTTCAAGTCTTGCTGCTAGCCTCAGCTCTTGAAAATTGTTTGGAGCTCTCACAATTTGGAAAAGTTGCATTGACAAGAATGCTACAAGCATAAGACTCAAAATAAATCTTGGTTTGAAAATTTCTTAAAGAAATTGACGATACCAAAGACAAGTTGACCATTATACATGAAAAAAAATTTTTTTTTTTAACAGAAATGTTAATAAACTGTTTTGTCGTCCCCAAGAAAATTGTTTTTAATCCCGAATCTTGATAATGTTCATTTTAAATTTTGCACATTGCTCTCAAACCACCCATAATTGTGTGAGCGTGTTCATTGGCTGTGAAATCTGTTGGAGAGATTGCTCCACGGATTTTGATGCTCTGAAAATTTATTGGGATGGTGATACTTGTTTATACATTGAAATGTCATTGTTCCGAAATGTATTTGATATTTTTTTACAATATTTGAAAGATTAGTCACTTTCGACTTTGGCTTTCCAAAAGTATTCCAAGCGTACCAAAACTTATACGGTTGTATGGAGAGCTGGTTGATAAAATTTTTTTATAAAATACTTAATTGACCAACACTGAACAATTTCATTTTTTGCTAAAACAACTTTCGTTTTTATTTGCTACCGACAAGTGGTCAAAACTAAAAAGGTCAATGTGGGCAGCTCAAGTGTTTAAAAAAAATGGGGACCTCAAAGCTCCCATTTTTTGGTTTTTAGTGTTGGAAGATACCCGCACATGGAACGGGTGCTTTCTATTTGGAAATTATCTTAGGATGTCCTTTCGATGATACGGTACTCTATATCCTGTTGCATGTTTTTTTTTTTTAAGCTTGGAAACTCGCACAAACGGATTCATATTTTTTCAGTGTTTCACATTTACAAGTTTGTTGAAATGATAATCAAAACCCTTATGAAATGGATGCGCGTAGCTCATTGCAAACTGAAAGCGATTGCGTCATGACAGTGCAGTGACAATTTGTAAAAGGATTGCACATCGAGGAACGAGTCGTTTTGCGTTTGTGAGTTTTTTTTTGAAAAGGTCATGGTGTTCAGTGGAGCTCAAACCTCGCAGACTTCGAACGATCTAGGAAGAGAAAAATGACGTCATTTTTACGTAACGTTTCTACTCCTAGGGAAAACCTGAAACCTCGCGCTTTCGAACGGATTTTGCTAACGGACTGCGATCTTCATTTTTCCTCCCATCTATCGGAAAACTTTCACCTAACAATTTGCTGGTGAAAGCGATTTGAACGTTCGAATAGGATGCGTTTAACGCTGAGATTAAATTAGATTTCCGATTTGAAAGATAATTTTTACCCAGATATTTTATGATTTTTTATGCTCATTTACCTAGATATTTTATGAATATATTTCAGACATAATTTTTCTCTCACAAATTTATTATTTCATATAATAAATGGATTAAATAATTAGTTTCGGTTTCTAGCAGAACTTATAATAAAATCTATAATAATCTTGCACGACTTTAAATAAAACGTGAACATTTTTTCTGTTCCAAATTTTTGTGTATTCTTAGCCATAATATGTTTAGTATAATTATTGCCATGTTTTTATTAACTTTTATTTTAATTACCTCGTAATATTTTCAAAATATCTGCAGAAAAAAAATGGAATTTTTTTCTTTAAAAAATTGGTGAGTTATGACTGAGATTAGTGCCAAATAAATAAAAAAGATTACTATAACTAAATCGTATAAAATTTAAATAAGAATTACTATAAATTGTATGCTTATTTTTAATCCGCTATGCAATTTTCTATCAGAGATTTGAAAGAACTGAAGCTTTTAGAATATGATCGGTTTTGTAATTTTTATAAAGTAGTTNATTATTATGACTGAAGCACAGAGAGAAATGCTAACTAAATATGCTCCTGAATGCATATGTATCGATAGCACCCATGGCACAAATGCTTATGATTTTCAACTGACAACATTGCTAGTCCTCGATGACATGAGGCAAGGACTTCCATGCGCCTTCATGATTTCAAGTAAAGTCAATCAAGATACATGTGCTGTGTTTTTTAGTGAGATTAAAGATGTTGTAGGGGATATCTCAACTGCAATTTTTATGTCTGATATGGCTGAAACTTATTATAATGCCTGGCTATCAACATTTCACACTGTCCCTACTAACAGACTTTATTGTGCCTGGCATGTTGATAATGCCTGGAGAAACAATCTTAACAAAATAAAAAACCAAGATCTACGTGTTTTTGTGTACAAAATTCTAAAAACTTTGATGTACGAAACTGATGTAAACACATTTGAAGTTCTGCTTACAAAAACTAAAGATATGTTTTCTTTAAATGATGAACTAAAGCAGTTTGGAGACTACTTTTTTCAGTTTTATGGACAAAATTCAGCGTGCTGGGCTTACTGTTATCGAACAAACCTTGGAATCAATACCAACATGCATCTTGAAAGTATGCACCGGACACTGAAATATATTTATTTCAAGGGTAAAAAGGTGAAACGTTTAGACAAATCTGTTATTCAGATTATGAAATTTATCAGAGATAAACTATTTGATAGACTAGTTATTTTACATAAAGGCAAGCTAGTTCCAAAGTTGAGTGACTTGCGTCTGAGGCATCAAACTAGCCTTGCATTATCTCTTGATTTTGTTAGTGAAATAAATGATTCCTTCATTGTTCTTTCTTCAAATGACCCTGCGACAACTTATATGGTAAAAAAGAACAATAAAAGCTGTACCTGTCGACTACGCTGTGATGAATGTGATTCCTGTTTACATGCATATACTTGCACATGTATAGATGCAAGTATTAAAAATAATATGTGCAAGCATATTCATTTGACATGCAGGTACTTGCAGTCAAAACAATGCATTGATAAAGTGGGTGTAGAAGCAACTAGTTTATGTATTGATACAGATAAAGCTGATAAAGATTTTGAAGAAAATGTTATAGTTACAGAACTTTTAAAGGAAAGTGGTACAGTGAACATATCATTAATTGAAGCAAAAGAGGATTTGATAAAAAAATTTAGTGATATGATTTACGGTATCAAAGATGCATCAGAAGTTAAAATTTTAAACGACACATATAAATCAGCTCAAGTAAAGTTGTTGGCTCATCATAATTCTACCACTCCTCTCAATCCTTTGTCTCCAACAAAGAAAAGAAAAATTGCACCACAGCGGCGACTATTTTCAGTTAAAAATAAAAGAGTTAAGCGTAATAATGCCATTTCAAATCCTACCGTGCAAGAGTCCCAGGATATTGCTTTATCTCTAATTATGCCGAAATGAATTTTGTGAAGTCATAGCAGTTAATAATACAAGTAGTTTTTTTTCTTCTATCAACATATAAAGGAAAACCAGTATAAACTTTATTTTATTTGTATAGGCAATTATAATGTACTATTTGTTTGTATTGAAGTGGCAAACCGCAATGTTCAAGTTTCACTTATCCTTTAAATCATATTTGCTTTCTTAAAACTTTAATTTTTATCCATGTTATTTTTATTTATTTTAAAAATTCTTGTAGTTTGATTTCAAAAATTTAATAATATCTCTAATTACTACTTAATAAACACATCCTAAGAGCAAGATTCTAATATTTTAATTTCTGTTCTTTGTAAGCTGTTGCCATTAACCTCCCTCATGAAATTATGGAACTTGCTTTTAATAAAAGCTAAAACTTGTGTGTTAACATCAAATATATTTGACCAAAATTGTTTGTATATCATGCTAACTGAAATAACTAGTTGCGCAAAATATTGTAATTACATCCATTGTGAGCTGTGTGTAATGGATATTGTATCGATTTTTTAATAATTTTGTTTATTTTTAGATTTTCTAAGTATTGCTTATTTTCAGATTTTGGATATACATCATTTTCGGTATAGTATTTCTTTCAAATATGTAGAACAGGCTTCTGATTCTGCATTTTTATGTGATGATCTAGATGCTATATTTTTCATGTGTATTATTAAATAAAGGAGTAAATTTATAAAAAATAAAAAAAACATGTTACTAAGATAAAAAGGGCAAAAATATCACATTTAATTATTGCGATTCATGAATATTTTTTAACCGCTTCATCAGTTTTTCGCAATTTTATAAATCCCGACCTTAATATTGCTTATCGTTATTATTATATTGCTTTCTAGTTGAACTGAGTTGTTTTCATGTGATGTTTTTGGATTATCCTATCAAACAAACTTTTGTAGAAGTAATCATATGATATTATAAACACACATGGTTGAAGTGTTCTCTCTGTTTTTCTCTACTTCAACATTTTTGGGGAAGAAGTCAGTATGTGAATATTTATACTTGTTCAGCTTCCTAACGTTTTCAATTTTTGTAGTATGTAATAATTCTCATCTTTCATACAGTGCCTAAAAACATCTGCCACAATGCACGATGCCTAGGCATTTCATACTTTGCCGATAACGTATATAACAAAATGAATGACTTAAGTCTTCATAGACCATCAAGTATGGTATTAAGAGACGATTACCCTTGATTTGATGGCATAAAATAATTCACTGTGGGAGGAATATGTTTTTAAAAAAAATCTCTCTACTCTTCCCTCACATCATAATCAACTGTTTTACACAAGAGAATCCTCATATCTTGTTATGACTAAATGATTTTTAACATTAAGAAGAAGACAAATTTTTGAAGTTTCTTCACATAAGATCAGAAACTAGTAAATCGTTTATCTGTGAATTCCTGTTAGTATTGTACAAATTATTTCCAATAGAGAATCAGCATCCTTAAGTTTTGAGAAAATTTTGTCCTTAATTTTTATATTTTAGACTTCTGGTGAAATAATAGGAAATAAAGAATGCTTTTTATTTTCAACAGAAATCATTTTTTTCCCTTCTATTTTAGTTTATCTTTTAAAAAAAATTGCTGTGTAGTAATTTGTTAAAATTTTTTTTTCTAAACGCTTAGAAAAGCAAAAGAGTTATCAGCTTATGATCAAGAGTCTTGTTTTTGGAAAATTTGTTAATCCTTATATGCAATTTTTAACAAGGTTTGATTTTATGTGTATAAAATTATGTACTTAAAGCCTTTAAAACTCAGCCCATTTTAGTCAAATATAAAGTTACTAGTTGGTTGCATTTATGTTATTAAATAAATATGTGTGGCGTATTTTATTAATGTAAATTTCAGTTAAAAATTTAATAAATGCGGCTAGGCTTTTTTTTTATGAGTTTGTAGCTAATTAGAGAAGAGGGTACCTTTTTTTTAGGTAAATTGTTTTAAATGAGTTTCTTTCTTACATACGCATGTAATCTCTTAATTTAAAATATGATTGTGTAACATTTTCTACAGTTCTACTAGGTAACTTCATGTCATAATTTAGTGTCAATCTGTGTAATTCATGCAAGATCAGTTTTCAGCCATTAGAAGTATGTCATGAAGCAGTTATTCAAAACAGTGTCAATTTCTAATATAAAGTCTCTGTTAGTTATAAAGTAATTCTAATGATCCTTAAATTAATTAGTTCTTTTTNGTCAATCTGTGTAATTAATGCAAGATCAGTTTTCAGCCATTAGAAGTATGTCATGAAGCAGTTATTCAAAACAGTGTCAATTTCTAATATAAAGTCTCTGTTAGTTATAAAGTAATTCTAACGATCCTTAAATTAATTTGTCCTTTTTTTTTCGATACAAATTTTTGTAAATTGTAAACATTGCTCTGTGTAACATTTATTAATTCACATCAAGATAGTCTGTGTTGTTAAACTGCTGGCAGTTTTCTATTTTATCCAAAGCCATCTATCTGAACCTTTCATTACCGAAAGAGGCCTGCGCCAGGGAGACTCTCTTGCTTGTCTGCTTTTTAACCTGGCATTGGAGAAATGCATTCGGGATAGCGGATTAAACCGAGGAGGATCTATTTGGAACAGATCTCTCCAAATCCTCGCTTATGCGGACGACATTGATATCATTGGAAGATCAGAACGGGCTGTTAAAGATGCCTTTCAAGCCCTTGAGGCCTCTGCTATAAATATGGGCCTTTCCATTAACGAAGACAAGACCAAATTCATGGAGTTTTCAAGCTCAACTGTAAACTATAGTGAACCTTTGCAGATAAACGGACATTCCTTTGAAAAGGTTAAAGAATTTAAGTATCTTGGTACAATTATCAATGACCAAAACAAACTGAAACCTGAAATTGACAATAGAATCAATATGGCCAACAGATGTTTTTTTGGACTAAAAAGTCAACTAAGATCGAATTTTATTAGCCAAAAAACAAAACTAAAATTATATAAGACACTCATTCTGCCTGTCTTGCTATACGGAAACGAAACCTGGACTTTAAACCTTGACGTACAACGCCCGATAGAAACGTTTGAAAGAAAGATACTTAGAACTATCTTTGGTGCCATACCAGAGGGGGGATGTTGGCGAACACGGTACAACTTTGAACTTTATGGGCTCTATAAACATCCTCAAATTATGCAGATAATCCGAAGCAACCGACTAAGATGGCTCGGACATATATGGAGAGGCTCTGAAGATAGCCCTGTAAAAATTGCCACCTTCAAGAACCCTCAGGGGTCCCGCTCTAGAGGTAGACCACCTACTCGATGGCTCAAAGACACTGAAAACGACCTCAAAGTCCTAAAACTTAAGAACTGGAGGGAAGTTGCCATGGACAGAGGGAGCTGGAGAAGGCGTGCTGTTGAGGCAGCCAAGGCCTGCAAAGGGCTGTTGCGCTCCTGAAGAAGAAGAAGAAGTTTTCTATTTTGTATAATTTAAATAAATATTTTTTCTTAGTTCACATTTGTATTTCTCTTATTATTCACCATATTCTAAATTATGTTTTAATTATTACCTTTACTTTTTCCTTTGTCTGGTAATGTATTTGAGTATTTTAACTTCATAAATTTAAATATATATAATAGCAATATAAAAACAACTACATTTAAGTTTTGAAATGAATAGCAAACCTATAAAACTAATATTAAATTTTTTAGCAATTAAACATAAGGGAATTTTTTTTTTAAAACATTAACTTTTGCTTATGACAATTAAGTTGAATTCATCTCATAATTAACTTAATGTTAAAAATTTTTACATTAGGTCTATACAATTAAGTATAAAAATCAATAACCAGTAATGGAAAGACATTAAAAATAAAAATTTAGTGACATTTTAAATTGTAATTACATACGATAATGTAACTTATTACCTTAAGCAAGATCAAATTTTGTAAGTAAACACAATAATTTAAAACCAAATTTCTATAATTTGGTTTGTAAATTTAAAATGTGTATTTCAGTAATTGCAATTGGTGGAAGAAACAAAATTTCAATATATATTTTTTTTCTCCACTATACCATTTACTTTATGATATTTTAAAAACATATTGTTTGCTTTACATTTTAAAATGCAATTTGTATATTTTGTACCTCCAACCAATAAAACAAATTCCATTAAGAATTAATTTGCAATAAACGTTTTACTCAGAAGTTTTATTCTCCAACTTTTTATCACTTTTATTTAACCAATTTATCTAAAATTAAGAAATGACTAAGTAATTAAAGCAAACTTAAAATTCTGTTCTACATTTTTTTAGAACCAAAACAAAAAAACTGATAAAATCAAAATTGAGGATTTGATGTTGAAATTATAATTTAAATTGATTGTGCAATTATTCAACTAAGAATAAGAGTTAAAAATACCAAGTAAACTTCCATTTATAAAAAGTATTAAAAAAAAAAATTTTTTTTAAGGTAATTAATTTTATTTTAGGAAGTAACGTTTTTATTCTATGAATCAAACTGTAGAAGGGACATAAAGTAGATTCCATAACTAGCTAAGCACTTGATAGATTATTTTAACTTTTTCTCAAAAATATAATAATAGTCATAAATCTACTCTTAAGTTTTGAAATTTAATATTCTTTTGTTTAAAAATATTGTCAAATAATGTTCTCTTATTATTGCTTGAATTGTGACCAAAATAAACTAAACGTGTGAGAACATAGCCAAATCAATCAAGCATATTAAAGCTTTTCAAATAAGGATGTAATTCTAGACCTAGGTAATTATTGGCCTTTTTAGGTGCACTTCAGATAGGGACAAAAGTAGATAAAAAAATTATTTTATTTCTCTGTTTAAGCTATCCATTCTTAAAATAAAATAAAAAAAATTTGACTTATTTGAAGTTTGATTATCAAGAAATTTTTATGTCAAATAATGTTTAGACTCGCAAAAATTTAGTATTTGAATAAATATGCAAAAAAGATTCATTAAAATAAATCGCGAAAGAAAATTCTAAAATTGTAGAAAATCATTGGGTAAGCCATTTCTCAACTTTCAATGACCTTTGCTTTATGTTTAATTTTACTAGCAATGAGATCTTTTTAAAA